TGACATGAGGATGAATAAATGACAGAATTTCCAATTTTCCAACACAAACATCTTTTCAGCTTCTGTGCAGATGAATAGAGCCTGTGACTTCTCTTTCTGCACCTCTGAGCTCATCTCTGGTTCTGCTGGGCTCTCACAGGCTGTCCTTCACACCTGGCCCTCTGCAGCAGCTCTCAACCCACTCACGGCTGACTGGTCTGTACTGGCACACTTGTTCTGTGGCCATGCACACTACATGTGGGCACCCCAGACTACATCTCTAAAACTCAGACAGGTGTGAGTGCTCAGACTGACACAGGGGCCTCTGAGACCCCCCATACACATGGCCAAAATACATGACTACCAAGGCCTTCCGTTCACATACTGTAAATCCAAAATAGTGTGTAAGATTAGAATAACTAATCCAAATCATCATTGCATCAAAAATAGTATTGAAATGTAGTGTCAAACTGCTTCTAGATGACTGCTGGTGTGGGCATCCCTGCATGCTTTATAGAAGCATTTTTCCCACAACCCTTTGCGCAATGGAAGTTTTGACAGTTCTTTTTTAACTTTGAGTTGTGGTAAAGTGACAAGGGGATGTAATAAATAAATAAAGCAATTATTTATAGAGCGCTTTATTGTGTATTGCTGTACACCCAAAGCACTTTACAATCATATGAGGGGGGATCTCCTCAACCACCTCCAGTGTGCAGCATCCAATAAAAGTGATGCCGATGTTGCCACAGCAGACAATAAATGCCTAAATGTTAAAGTCAGCATATGAGGAATCAAATTTTTCTTGATATTTTTGATAGAGCAGCTTGTACTTTGATAAGTATTGTAACTTAAAAAACCCAAAGTATGCTGACAAGCTGAGCTGCAGAAACAACTTATGTAACTTTCCGAAGTGGTAAAAAAAAAACATGTTAAACAATGACACTTATTAATTGATCAGAAACCTGGGCCACCAAGTAAGATAATATGTAATAATGGCACTTTTCAGCATATTTTTGCATACTTAAGGTATAGTAGCATCAGTAGCAACAAACAAACAAACAAAAATAAATAGATCTAATACAGTATGTTGTTCTTTGGCCTTCATTCAAATTAGCCACTGACTAAATCTGGATTTTCCCTGAAAAATTAAATTAAATCAAATCTATTTTCTAAATACATATTACAGATCTTATTGTAAACAATGTATCTGTGTATATTTCATTTTTCAGGGTTTTTTTTTTTTTTTTTGACCTCAATGTTTAACAAAAATGTAATAATTAGACCTTCCAGTGAAAATGATAGATGTCTCTCTGGTCACCTATGCAGGACACATCCAATCATTTAGCCTGCTTAACCTCCACCACTCCAAGCTCACACTAATCAATCAACAACCAATGCATAGAACCAAGTCACCACCCTACTTTGTTACATTTAGATGTACGCCACAATACAGAAGAAAAGACTTGTCACTAATTTACATGGCTTTGTTGTTCAGAGTTTGTTGTTGTTATGTCTTGAATTTGGAGTCCAAATCAACTCTCAAGTAAATTCTTGTGTTCTGAGCTTCCATCTCTGCTATACGTCAAGGTAGAATCATCAGAGGTACTGATGGATAGACCAAAATCAGATCCCAGTGAACACGAACTCTATGCATTGCTTCAGAATACTAAAAAAGGATGAAGGAACCCTTGTCTTTGACAGGGAATCAAATGGACATTTTTTATTCTGTCTGTTCCCATCCGTCTCCCTCTCTATGCCCACCCTCCACAGCCCTTTATTTTTATCTCCACCGATGCGCTTGTGGCAATGTGACTTTGTCTTATTTCACGTCCAAAGATCGCCATTGCAACACTATTGCCGACAGCTAAATAGTCAAAAGTGATCCAAACAAAAGATGAAATGTAAAGAGAAAGAAAAAGTCTTTGAAGTACACTATTCATTCATGGGCCGTGGCGGTATAGCAGACCAAAGCCTATCTGTAGTGCGGGACCTGACTGAGCAATGAATTGTGGGTTAAAAACTCATCATCCTCAAGGTTGGCAATGTGAGTTCCTCAAGTACTTGTACTGGGCCCTATATAATTCTCATAGGAGGCTTGTATGAATGTACGACCAGATACCTGACCAGCTCTCACCTATCCATGTTACCATGCAGGTCCATTAATGACTCCACCATGGGCAGCCCTGGAGGCTTGTGGCACTGCTGCGCTGGCTTTATTGACTGTTCTGACATGTGGAGGTCTCATGAGAGGTTCTGGGGAGAGCAGTGAGTCACACAGCTGCAGGGCCAATGTGACAGGCCTGACAGACACATACTCTCCACGCAGAAAGAGAAACCATGCATTCGGTCTAGGAGATTGGCCCACGGTTGCATTCAGCCACCATGTCTCTGTAAATCTATGCAATATGTCTTGGGGAGACTGGCGGTGCCATCCCGCAAGCAACTTAGTGGTAAATGCAATTTATTGCATTAGGAATTTATAGGCTCCTGTCACACCTGTTCCCTCCCTCCCATCGCTTCCTGTCAGCTAAAAGAAAAATAAGGATTATTATACTATACAATTCATTTTATTTATATATATATATA